CCACCAAGGAACACAGGTCTTTGAATAGGAGCAAAGAGTCATGGCCCTGTAAGTTGAATCAGATAGTGCAGGGTGCTGGCACTGGGACTGGGAACATTACATTACAGAGCTGCTGCTAGTACCACTATGTTAATAAAATATATTATTTTGGTAGCTTAGGATCAACAGCTTCGCATTATTAGTTAGGTCACTAAACGCACTCTTGACAGAATAGCAATGTCAGCAACCAGGTGTCTTGGCAAGTGCTCAGTCCTCCACAGAGTGGATGCATCTGCATGTTCATTAATGCACTTTTGTTACTGCACATTAAATTTAGTACCTCTAATGCAATGTGCTAAGTAAATGCACATTAGGCTGTCCTAATGTACAGTAGTGAAAGCACACACTATTTTAGTGACACTTAATGCACAGTAACCTAATGTTACTGTGCATTAGTGTATTAGCACTTTTTTTTCTGTGAAGCTCTAATGCACTACTGCACATTAAAGCACACATGTAGACATACCTATTGGATATTACAGAAACATTGCAACTGTACGTGTGAAAGAGCTGGTACTGCTCCATGACCAAACACCCAAAGTACACACTGGATCAGGGTTATAGTGTCACATGCTGTTGCAACAGGGCAGAGTTCTAGAGCTCCCCTGAACATGCAGGGCAGGAAAAAGCACAGATACAAGCTTGGCTATTGCCAGGGCTGCAGATAGGAAATGCTTTGCACTAAAACAAAGAAATGTCACCAGGTCAAGGCCAGGCACCTGGACTGAAAGCTGCATTTTCTGTTAGGATTCATGGGATGAGATCTATACGCAAAAAATTACCTCAGGCATTCTGCAGTTGCCTTTCATCTGGCTCATTTGAATTGGCATCTACATTACAGCTCCAGAAGCAAGAAGCAAAACACTCAGGTAAAGGCACTGCCACTGTCAGGAATTTTTCCTGCTCTCAGACATGACAATGCAGCCTTTACTCAGGCAGAACTCCCAGTGAAGCACTGAGGCTTCCATACTGTTAAACCATTCACTCAGCTATTCACAACAAGGCAGTTCATTTCTATCATGAGCAGGGATCCAGGTTTTCCATTTGCCATGGAAAAACCTGGCAAAACACAGATTTTCTCTTTTAAAGAAGAAAAATGCAGGAAACTGTGGGTTTCCCCTTGCAGGCTGACAAGAGTTTCAGCCTGCAAGGGGTTGCTTGCGGCTGGAGGGAGCAGGATACAGGGGGCGCCAAATGCATGCATTCATGCATAAATACATGTGGCCAGCAACACAGCCAGGCAGCAGTGGACAGCAGCTCCCCAAGGTGCCTGCAGGTATATCTATGGGGGGCAGGGGAGAGAGGCATAGGTGATGTGTTGGAGGGTGGGGAGGGCATAGGAGTTGTATGAGAGGTGCACAATGAGGCAGGGCAGGGTTGGCAGATGTGGCTGGGGGCACTGCCCAGCCAGGACAGGAACATGGAGCTGTGGGGCCCAGTCAGAGAGAGTGGGATAGAGCCATGGGTGGCTCATATAGGGGAAGTGGTGGGGGGGCTGGCTCCCCACTGCTGCATGCATTCCTGGGAGAGGAGAATGAGGGGACATATATCCCCCCAGATTTGTGCACAGGATGAGGGTGGATGCAGGCTGCCTGTTGAGGGGTTCAGGGATCTCTGCCCTGCTGTCTTCTTCCTGGGTGCCTCCACAGCTCAGCCAGCAGGACCTGGCACAGGAGAGTGGAGCAGGGTGGGGACACTCAGTGCCACTACAACTGCGACTGGGAGCCTTGTGCCAAGGTGAGGCACCTCTTGTCCATCCGGCAACAACGGGGGACAGAACTCCATGCTACCACCACTCTTGCTGCTGCTGTGCAGGCAGGGGGTGCCTCAATATGGTGACACAGCTGGTGTGGTGCTCCCAGCAGAGGTGGCAGTGGTGTCAGCACCGAGCCTCCTTTCTCTGCTCCTCCCTCCTGTGCCAGGTCCCACCCACTAGGCTGTGGGGGCAGGGCAGCAGGGTGGGAAGCCCCAAGTCTGTAGCAGGCAGCCAGCATCCTCCCCCATCCCCCACAGGCTCCATTCAGCTTCACTCCAACTGTGCCACCCAAAAGGAGAGGGGGCAGATTCCGAGCTCTGTTGCAGCAGCTGCCAGGTCTCATAGCCCTGGCAGCTGGGACCCCCCTCCAGCAGAGTTGGGGAGGTAGGGGGTTAGGGATCAGGAGTCAAGGGCACCAACAGAGCTGAGTGGGCTGTTGGTCAGGAGTGAGAGGCACTGACATAGGCAGAGCAGGTCACCAGTGCATCAGAGCTGCTCAATGCCACAAGCAGCAGGGGCGGGTGCGGGGGTGGAGACAGCCACAGCTGAACCTGGTGAATCAAGGGGACAGAGGTAGTTCTAATTTTCCATGATTAAAAAAAAATCAAATGCCAAAACATATAGATATTTATCATTTATTTTATTATAATGATTGAGGCACTGGTAGGCTTCTAAAGTGCTTTCAAATTGTTACTATATCAGTAAAACATTGTGTTCAACTGAC